AATTTTTATTATCAAGATATGATCTAAGTAATGCCTGCATCTTATTTGTTTTCTTAAGAAATGCAATATTCAAATCTTTAAATTGCTCAAGATTAATTACTTTCTTATATTTCTTATCAGTAAACATTTTATCATAGAAATTTCTTGTAATTGTTAGTACTTTACCTGAATATTTCTGTGTATCATCTTTAGAATATTCTTTATAACCATCGATGAATTCAACCATTTGGTTTAATATCATTTCATAATCAAGCATAATATATTGTGTTTTAAATATATCTTTTGAATCAACATGTTTTTTTGCAACATCTTCAAATAAATTTCTATTATTAGCAACACATACTGTTGTTGATAAATTATCTGGTGTCATTATCATTTCTATCACCTCTTTAAATTATACTGAATAGCTAACACGCCACTGATGGTTATTATTGATAGGGCGAATATTAAGTGTTTTTGTTAATAATGATTCAATTTCATTTTTTAACTTAATTAAATATGATCTATCATGTGGAACCATATATCTTGCATCTTGTGTATCTATACATGTTAAATAGAAATCTATTAATTCTACTTTAGAGCATATATAACCACTAAGAGCCGCTTTATCATTTTCAGTTTCAACCTTATTCATTTCGGATTTAACATATGCTACGATATTGTATGGTATTGGCTTTAACTTTTTTGGTCTCTTGGTTAATTTACTTTCTTGATATATTTTATATTTTTCATAATCTGTTAATTCATATGATTCTGTATATACATCATCATCTGACATGTAACTATATGCTTCCTGTTTAATTCTTGATGTTTTTTCAATAAATTCAATACGTTTTTTTGTACCGTATATATCTTGTTTTATATAATTAATACATATTTTTCGTAAATGATTCACATCATCAATTAATTCATCATATTTGCTGATTGGTGTTTTATCATCAAATTTAGCCAATTTATCAGATAAATTAGCAAATATTTTATCATATCTTTTAAATGCTGAAGCAGATGATATGTCAGTTCCTTTAAAGTTATTTTTATCAAAATAAACTTTATATTGTTTTGCTATTTTATTAGTTTTATTTTGATCATAATATGTGTACAATACATCATTTACATTTTGTAATTCTTTTTCATTTGATGAACCATCATATCCTTTTATATATTTTTTATTATTATTAATATATAATTGCCCTGTTTGTAAATTCATATTTATCATTTTATAAAGATATTTAAATCTTTTAATTGCATTTTTTTCATGTTTTGTATTTTTAAATATATCTTTATAGGTATCCACATTAATATCACTAAAATTAATAGATCTGAATTGATCATAATAATCGTGTAATTGTTTGATTTCTGAATTTATCTTATTAGGATCATTAGATGTTTTTGCGATATTCTTCGTTTTATTAATTCTATCAATAAATTCACGATCAATTTCTTTATTAAATTTACCAATCAACTTTTCAAATTCATTAATATTTTTTTTTAAAAATGAAATCATTCCTTCAGTTGAACCATTTGTTGCTCCATATTTATCGGCTATATGTTCTTCATAAAGTTGATCATGATAACTTCTTTTGTCAACTGATTTCTCGACAAACATTATTAAATCATCTTTATTTTTAATATGATTATTATTTATAAGCATATAAAGATGACCTTCTTCATGTTTTAATATTGCTAAAAATTCATTTTTTGGTCTTAATAAATCTTTAATATTAATCTCAATACAAAGGTCATATGATCCATCTTTATTTGTAATATATCTTAATCCACTGAGTTGTGAAAATACAATTTTTACTTTACAACGAATATTACCTGATTTATCCTTTTTGAGGCTTTTATCTTTCTCTATCATTTTATTTAATTCCGAATTAGGGATATCAGTAACAAATGTTTTAGTCTTTTTATCATATCCAAGTTTTTTAATAGCAATCATATTTTTTACTGCATTAATAGCACCTTCAGTATATACATCATCATCTGTGTTGAATGTTGTATATTCTTCTTCATATTCATCTTCTACTTCATCCGCTTCGTCTGTTTCATACTCATCTTCTACTTCGTCTACTGTATCTGCTTCGTCTGTTTCATGTTCATCATCATCTTCTTCATCATACATATGATCATAATCTTTTTCAATATCATCCATATCATAATCATCATATGAATCAACAACATCACTTGATGAAATAACATCCTCTGGTTTTGTATCATTTATTTCTTTAACTTCTTTACTAATTAAGAAAGCTTTTTTACCAAGCTCTGGTGATAATGTACCACGACAACCAGTAACACCAATATGATGTTTAAGAACATCATTAACCGAATGATTATGTCCATGATGACATGTTGTTAAGTCCTTTACAAAATTAACAGCATTACATCTATCAGCATCATCAACAGCAAATGAACCATTTTCATCCATCTTACCAATAATAATAGCAATCATAGGTTTAATATGCTTCGGTACAGGTTTACCACGATTAATCATAGCATCATAAGGAATTGTTTTTCTTTCAATGACCATAGCATTTCTTTCAACATCATCAGCATCATCAAATATTGTACCATTAACAATAGCCTTTGCAACATGACTTTCTTGCATCCAATCCATTTCCTTAGGAATATATAATTGTATTTTATCATTTTCTTTACATAAATAAACATCATCTGTAAATGATTCATTGAATACTATTTCAGGTTTATCTTGTAAATATGACATTTTGACATACTCGTTTATAACTTCATACTTTTTGTCTTCGAGTAATTTTTGAACAATCTCTATTTCTGAATTTTTGTTCATTTTTAACACCGTCCAATCTTTTTATTTTTTATTTAGGAGGAATTTATTATGTTAACACAATTTATCAATCACCATTTATCAGAAATATTATGTATTTTAATATTTATTGAAACATTTATTATTTTATTTTATATTAAGAAAATGAAAAATAAATATGATGATTTATCAAATACATTATATTTCATGATAAAAAAAATTGATAAAAATTATGATAGTATTGATGATGTAAAATATGGTATGACCCATATAAACAAAGGCATCAAGTCATTATCCAGCAGTATCGAGGAAGCTCAGATTAAACAACAAGAAATGTATATGAATAAAAAACCTATATTACCAACACCTGATGTATCTAAAAATATTAGAGATACAATAACAGAGAATATCAATATAGAAGTATTATTATCAGGAAATATGAAAATACCAAATAAAAAATCAGTTACACATATAATAGAAAATACATTAGCAACATATCCTGATATAGATCAAAATTATATAACAAAATTATGTTTAGCAATGGTTGAAAACTTTGCATTATCATTATCAGAAAATAACAGTAATAATTAAAAATGAGACGGGGCATAATGCCCCGCCTGTATAATTATATTTTTGATTAACCGCCGATATTTGTTGTAGTAACAAGACCAGCCTTATTATCAGGAACGATTTCTGTGTTCTTACAGATAACTCTACCCTGAATACCCTGAACTGCAATTGTCTTGTACTGAGCAGATGTTGTGATAAGAACTGCCTGACCACCTGGGTTGTTAATATCCTGGTAACCAGCATTTTCTGGTGAATTTGTAAGGTGTCTTGCAAATCTGAGGTGCTTGTAACCAATGTGGAACTTATCCATTGGATATGCAACAATCTTGAAGAAGTATTCTCTTGACTTATCTGTTTCAGATGCACCCTTCTGATATGCTGGGATAAGTGTATAAGCATCAACTCTGTTAGAAGATACAACTCTGATTGGGAGATCTGAATCTGTGAGGATACCAAAGCTATGGTTCATCTGAACACCACCGATTTCTGTGCTCTTCTTAACTGTCCATGTTACAAACTTATTGAGGAGACGACAAGCCTTTGGATTTGCATAGATTACGAAACCAAGGTTTTCGAGCTTACCTCTGTCGCAGAGTTCATAGATAACAGAATTAATTGCATTGTAGATAGCATTTGTTCTGTATTCCCATGGATCTCCTGCAAATGATGGTGAGATGCTTGTTGGTGAGAGGTCAACATATTCTGTATGTGTGTATGATTCAAGAGCCCATACATCAGATTCATAACCATCATACTTTTCAAATTCTTCATCAAGGAATTCAAGAATTGATTCATCTTCGAACATTTCCTGATTTACAACGAGTTCCTGAACGAGTCTGTTGTAGAGGTTGAAGTTGAGTGATGCATTAGCTTCAGCAAAGTCTTCAACTGTAAATGGAAGCTGGAATCTGCAACCATCAGAAATGAGGAACTTTCTGATTTCTGGATATTCTCTGAAACCGATTGTACGGAGGTTTGTTTCATTTGAGATATGACCACTTACATAGAGACCTGTGATTACACCACATGAAGAAGCTGTAAGTGTACCCTTAACAAAGTCAACTACACCAGAGAGCATATCAGAGAATGATACTGTTTCACCTGTTGGGAGGTTTGTATTTTCATTAACTACAGGAAGCTTGATATTTTCTGTTATACCACCATTGATGAATATACCACCATGCTGAATATCAATAGCAATACCAGCACCTGGGAGCTTAACTTTCTTAACTTCATCCTCAATTGTAACCTGAACGAACTGAATATTGAAGTCATATGAAAGTCTTGATCTGAGAGTCTTAGGGAAACATCCTTCAACACCCTGAGCTGGGTAAGCTGTACCATCATCCTTAAGGAGGTGATTGAACATATCATACTTCTTATTGTCAGCATTAGCAATGGTACTAAGAAGGATAGGTGTCTTATCATTGATCTTTACACCCTTACCTGCATTCCAGAGTTTCTTCCATGTAGGTGTACCATCTGCTTCCTTCTGCCAGTATACCTTTGGTACTTCATATTCTTCACCAGTCTGATTGTTTACAAGATACTTAACAAAGATACGCTGTTCAATATTTGTTGAAGAAGCTGTCTGTACTGGAATAATTTCCTTACCAAGGAATCGAATGTACTGCTTGATGAGTGCAGGGAAATCAAGAGTAGCAAGTGGAAGATATGTAGATGTATTATAAGATTCTTGAATTATGAAGCTATTAACAGATTCATCCCAAGCTGATTCGAGTTGATCAGCAACACTTTCAAGGTGAATTCTTTCAGCAGGATCAGTAACATTATCAGCTGCATCTCTGATTTCTGAAGTAATTGGATCAAGCATGAGAGTTTTGTATTCTGTCATGATTTCAGGATTATCCATCATCTTCTTAGCATCTCTCATAACGTTAATACCGTATGCAGATCTGAGAGAGTTAACTGTATCTTCGAAGTTATTATCGAATGTGTCACGTAATGTATCAAGTTCAGCCTGTGAAGCTGAGTTAATCATATTAGCCTGTTCCTGGTACCATGAATCATGGTTAGATTTTTGTAATCTTGAGTAAGCCATTGTTAGAACACTCCTTTTTATATTTTTAATTTATTATTGAATCTTTTTAAGATTCTTATTAATTTTATCAAGTAATAAAGTATATAAACTATCCAATTTCTGGAAGAATAATAAATTCTCACCATAACCAGAATCAACAAATTCATTTATTGCATAATTTTTTCCTTTTAATAAAGCAGAGCTTAAATTATTTACTGATTCATCATTTTGTTTAATAACATCATATGGTAATAATGGAGTTATACTTTTTATACTATTGATGATTTCTTCAATTTCAGTATTTCGATCAACCATTTTTTGATATAATTGTTGATTCAAAATATTATTAGCTTTGTCAGATAACTTAGTATCTTTTTTATCAGCTTCTTCATCTTCATTATTAGATGAAGAATCATTTGATCCGTAATCATCACCGGATTCTATACCACCCATATCAGATGAACTATCAGACATGTCCGTCGATAAGTCCATTGTATCATCATTCATTTCAGGAGGATTATCGTCCATTGCAGAAGATGAGGTGGTATCATCAGTTTCAGTTGCTGGAGGAGCAACATCATCAGGAGCAGCATCCGATGCACCTGGATCAAATGCTTGAAGTTCATCACCTTCTGCTTCCATTACCATAAAAAATAAATTTTTGTTTTTTGTGGTTTTACTGGTTTTAGACATATTGTGGCTCCTTAATAAACTTCACGTGGATGTTTAATTGTGTGATTTGATAGTCTTAAGATATCTTGCTCAATTTTATTTTTCATACGCATATATTCGTATTTCTTCTTGAGATAAACTTGTTTTTGTTCATCTGATTTTCCAGATGCTTCTGATTCAAGTTTACTTATTTTATCTTTAACTATTTCTAATTCAGCACTTAATTCTGATAATGCTTCTCGTCTAAGTCTATCACGATCTCCTATTTGTAATCCTTTAAGGATGACACCAGCAAGACCGATATAAGGGTTGAGTGCAAATGCAACACCTATTAAGCCCAGCTCGAGAGCAATTCTACCAGCTTTATATATACTAGATCTGTAGGATTTATTTTCTACAAATTGTTTTTTAACATAATTTTCATCTCGTTTAATAACTGAATCAACTTGACGCATCAACCAGTTCTTAGTAGATGATATTGGTTTAGTTAATTTGAAGCTATTTGGATCTTTCGGATTTTTAAGCTTACCTTTATTTTGGTTATTTGCTGTATTGTTCGAAAGCATAGTTTCTTCTTCCTTCATTGATTGTGTCAATGTAGGAGTAGCATTCTTCTTTTTAAATAATAGGGGCTCTTTAGATTCGAGGAAAACAAACATTTCCTGAACACTCATACCATTTGAAAGTGTTTGGGATTTGTCTTGTTTTGATATCGATTCCTTAGTATTATTTTTAGAAGTACCGCTATTATTATTATTGTTAGTCGGATGACCCATTCTTGCACCAATTACAGTTTTTCTGGATTTACCTCTAGAAGAATCTGTATTTTTATTTGAAGAAGAATCATTATTTGAATTCGACATATTTGTTGTTGTATTAGTTGTTTTACCTGTTGAATGATCATCAGTTGAATTAGTATTATATGAATCACGATTAAATGAATTAGTATAGTTATTTGTGATATTAACAACTATATGTTTATCATCATTTGATGTTCTGTTAGGATTTGTTTCATAACCAGAACCTAACATTTCATTTTCTGTTTCTGCTTCAGTATTTACTTTAGTATTGATAGAATCAGTAAGATCATCAATCGCATTTGATGGAATATCATCAGGTAAATCTATCGGAGCAGGTGATGAAAGTATTTCATCTGACATCTTTAATCTGTTTTTCATATATTCAGGAATATCACCTTTTTCTTGTTCCATTATTATCTGGAATTCTTTTAATGATAATAATGTTAATTCCTGAGTTACTTCTTCTTCATCACTCGATTCCTTCTTTTCTTCGGATTCTTCTTTTATTGGTTTATGTGTGCCATATTGTTGAACCGGTTTATCTTTAATGAATTCAAGTGATGATTTCATATTAAGAATCTCATCAGCAAGTTCAGCTAATTTTGTAACATTTTTAGTTTGTTTTGATGAACCAAATATATCACGAATACCATTAACAGGATTAAAACTATTCATTCTACAGTATTTAATAAATGAATCTAATTTATCTTGTAATTCTTTTAATGTACTAACATCGGCTTCTCTTAATTGAC